CCCGCCACAGGCCTTCCTGCGAGGCACGCGCACCGCCTGCCGCGCCGTGGCGGACGCAACCTTCACCAAGCCGCCGCTGGGAGGAGCGGCGGCAGGCGAGGGCGGCGGCGACGTCACGCCGGCAGCCAGCCGCAGCCTGCTGCAGCGCTGCCACACCACTGCCGGGCTGCGCAACGCGGGCTTCTTCTCGGCGCCGCGTCGGCCTGCGCGCGCGCGGCGGCGCACTCGCGCGCCCCTCCCCACGGCTGGCGAGTCGTGAGAGTAGGTGCCGCAGCAGATGCACGAGCGGACGCGCGAGCTGGACGGCGTGTTTGCGTCGCCCGGCGGGGCGAGCGGGAGCCTGAGCGGCGAGGAGGAGGAGGCGGCGGAGGAGGCGGTCGAGGAGGAGGAGGAGTGGGAGGGCGCGCGACTCAAGGGGCCGCTGCTGGCCGGGAGCAGCCGCCGCGCCGACAGAGGCGAGGGCAACTCTGCGGCCAGCGGTCTGCGCCACCGCGCGGACAGGCAGGGCAATACGTCGCCGGGCGCGTCGCCCGGGCTCGGGGCTGCGGACTCGCCTGATCTGGCGGCAGCCGGCAGGCGCGGCGAGAAGCCAGGCATGAAGTGAACCGGGTCGACACAGCAGGCACGGTGCCCAACCTGTCGCGTTCGTTCCGGGCTCAAGTTGGCACGCAGCACAGCCTGAGCCATACGTCGGTAACGCACTCCGCGGGGAGAGAGTCGCCCCGCGCTACACGTACTGGTACTCTCTAAAGTCTATCTCTAGATGAGAGCTCAAATGATGACGGGCCTTGGGAGCTGGTGCGCACTGGTGGGAAACTCCTTACTAGGGGAAACTCCGCGTGTAAAAGTCGCGTATTTATTTTATTTTGTGATGAGCCATCACTGCTTTTCTCAATATCGTATATGCCTAACTTATAGTTTAACTTTGGTGCTTTGTGTGGGTCGCGTTCCCATGGTAGCTGTGTGGCTGAAGCCCTCGTGCCGCTGGCTTGCCCCTTCCAGCGGCTGGCCCCTCGAGACTGTCGGTGCTTGGCATACCCCCCGGCGCAGTGTCCCCCGCTATGTGTCGCCGTTTGTCGGGGCACGCTATCCTGTGTAGTCAGGGCAAGACCAAGTCGCAAGTGGGGGCGGGGTGGAGTGCCCAGCGTCTTTACCCTGGGCGGATCTCTCTGCCCAGTCCGGGGGTGCGTCGAACCTTCCATCACCCTGTCGGAAGCGGCGTGCCGGTGGAGGCACGTCCGGGTTTTGGAAGTAAAGATATATTACTTTTTTCTCAATATCGTATACAAGTATATATTTTAATGTTTAATCGGCTATATCTATCTCTTATAGCCTTCTAGCGCTCTCGCGTGCGCCGTGCCGCTCCTGCCGGTGCGCGCTTTATCCGTTATCGCGGTGGGGGTGGCGTTTTGGCGACGCGCTAAGGCGGCCGAGCACAAACCCCGCGGCCGCGCCAAGCGCTAGGCCAAGCGACAGTCCAGCAACGCCGTCCAGCCTGGGAGCTGCCGCCAAGCCCGCCGCCACAGCTAAAGCAGCGCCAGCGAGAGCCATCCAACGCTGCCTCCGATGGCCACCGATGGCGGCGTACCCTCGCCGCATCAGCAGGCTCCTCGTGCCCGACAGCAGGTCGCGGAACAGCTCATCGGCAGCCATGGCCGAGGCCGTGTCGGCACTTCTGCCGGATGCCGAGGTCGAGGGCTGCGGCTGCCTGTCCGGCTCCACCACCTCCGAGCCAGGCTGCCACGGTAGCGCCATGCGCTGGTAGAGGCGGCTCGGGCACAGGTAAGGGGGCGCAAGCTCCACGCGGTGGTAGCCGCCGCTTCTCGCGTCGTGAATGTACACGTACTCGAGGCGCTCGGCGAGCCAGTGCAGGAGCTGTGGGAGGGTGCGTGCGCCGAGGCCGCGCGTCACGAGCTCGAGCAGAGCTGAGTAGTAGCCGTTGAGTGCGGCGCGCTCGCCCGCGTTGCTCAGGTCGACCCGCTCTGGCGCTGAGGGGGAGATGAGCGGCACGTAGTTCCGATAGAGCGGCTGTTGGGATGTAAAGTTTGCGCCGAGGGAGGGGAGCTGCCGGAGCGACGCGTGCACAAAGGTGTCGCACACGCACGCGGAGACCCAAGTGCGGGTGGCGCCGCCGGCCTGTGGAGCGTCGAGCACGTCAAAGAGCTGGTAGCCTGGGTGCGACGGCGTGAACTCCGAGACGACCCAGTCGCAAAGGGCGTTGACGATTGCGCCCGTTGTCCGACCCACAAGGGAGCGCCCCTTGGTCCATCGGTGAGGGTCCTCGCCCGGCGTAAAGGCGACTACAGCCTCGTTGTTCCACACTGGGCCAGCGCCGTCCTCCACCGAGATCGGGAAAAGAGCGCCGAACGGGAAGTCTACCGCATAATACTGCAAAGTGAAGACCGTGAGCGGAGGAGGCGCCAGCAAGGTGCTCACATGGAAAACCAGGCCGCAGTGGTAGGACTGGAGTAGGCGGCCGACAGCGCCGAGTGCCTCGATTTCCTGCTCCACGTACCAGACCTCAACATCGCAATCGGGCGGTAACGCCGGCACCACTGACCGGTGCTCGAAGAAGATGTCGGGCTCGACTCGTGGCTCGCCACACGCCGCTCGCGCCCACGCATGAATCTCGGCTGATGTGGCGTTGGTATGAAATTTCCGCGAGTGCACGGGTGGGCCTTCGCTCTGGCAGCGGACGCCGATCATGGCGCGCAAAAATGGCCGCTATCGCAGAGTGTGGGTAAACGAAAGTACCGTATTCGGTACTGTCCAAGCCGAAAGTCTGGGCAGGTTGTCGGGGACACGATCCCGGCGTGAACACAACTAACTGACGGATCCGCTCCTGACAGTCGCACGCGCCGCGCTGCGGCGCGTGCGACTGTCTTTGTTTGAAGTCAAAAGTCGAATCAGAGCGAAGTCGGCGTTGTCCCCCGATTTTGTCCCCCGGACCGCCCGTCCGGACCGCTCCGGGACGCACGCCGGCGAAGCACCATCAAGCTGCTGTACGGCCCCGGCATCGCCTTCCCAGGCTTAGCTAGACTGAGAGATATTGTGCAAATGGTTAGTCTCTACAATATATACACTGACACTGAACCTCCCAGAGCTCGTCCCGGTCCGCCACGGCCATCCTCGGCCTCCGGAGGGCCCCCGGCCGCGGCGCGGTACGTCGGCGTCACAAATCCGACCACAGAGCACCGGGACGCGGTCGGGCGATCCGAGGCCCAACTAGGCGTATGCATTGCCTATCCAGGGCTATCACCTGGACCTATCAACAGGCGCCTGCGGCGCCGTGGTCAGGAGCTGCTGTTCACGCCGGTCCACACTTTCATAGTGGACAGTGTACTATCAAGAAAGACACCGAAAAAAGTCGCCGCGGCAGTCCACGACGAGCCAGCCTGCTGCCGGCTCGCACGGCAGCCTCTTCCTATGGACCAGCCTCGACTTCCATACAGTCAACATTTTGTCGCTGCGTGCTCGTGGTGAGCTGTGGCGGCGGTCGAAGTTCGCCCAGATTCGGTGACGAGCGCCGGACGATAGTACCGCCTCTGTTCGCCCTGTGCATGTCAGGCCAGGCTGGCAGCAGGGCACTACCAACGTGCTGCCCTGTTGCAGCCTGACTTTGCCCACTGTGCACAGTCGCCAGAGCACCACCACCGCCCGGCATCGTGTCACGGCGAGCTCCTTCTGCGCCCGCTCGCGAGGCTCTCGCGCTGGCACACTTTGGCCATCTGCTGCTCGCGTTCGGCGAGCTCTTCTCCGCACTCCTGCCACGGTGCCGTCACCACACACCTTCTGGCTGGCCTGAGCCGCGCGGGGTCGCCGGCGGGGGCAACGCGTCGACCTCTCTCTCTGGCGCACCACGGGCCGCAACGGCCTGCGAGCAGCGTGCGCGAGGAGGCAGTGTGCCGGCACAGTCGAGCCGGAGCATCGGGTTCTTGATGCTTCTGGGGTCAAGTTTGACCTTATGTGGTATAATATGCAACAATAATGCTATGCTCTCACCCAGCCTTTTGAGATATGATCCCTCAAAGTCGAATTTTCGTTTACTGGTGACCATAGTACCGTTTGTCTTGTTTGCGTTTCTTCAAACGAATCCTTTAAAGTCTCGACAATCACTCAGCTGCTTATGTGGCACCGCAGAGGCTCCCTTGGGGATGCCTGAGGCCACCCCAACCACACACTAAGCCGTACGTAGACGAATTGGGCGCTACTTTTTTCGTTTACCCACATTATGCGAGTACTCGAGTACCTAGGTGTTGGGTGTCTGTTTTCTTTCTTTCTTATTAGGTACGAAACGCTTTGACCTACCCCCTTTGTGAAATCCCTTTGTAGTGGCGGCCGCCCCTCCCTCCTTTGGGTTTGTTTGATCTGTGAGAGGCTTCTATACGGAACGGCAGTGTGTAGGTAGGTAAGTAGGTAGGTAGAAAGGTGAAGAACAGCCAGGCTCGGACTGGACACCAACGCAGTGTGTGAGTATTCACACAACGGCAGCTGTGAACGGCGCGCTCCTAAAAATGGAGAGTGAGCATTCTCTTACCGCCAGGTGGGAGCTCGTGCGACTCTCGCCCTCGCGCATCGTGTTCGACGTGCATCGGCACGTGTCGAGGGGCTGCCACGCGAACGACACCGCCGGCATCTCCGTCATCGGGCGCACAACCACACCGTCCGCGCTCGCGAGAGGCAACCGCACTCTAGAGAGAGTGTGTTTTTGATGTAGGTGTGTCGTCAATCACCAATCTGGCGGACTGAATTGGCGCTGGGCAAAGATGGGCCAGATCGGCCACGCGGCGCAGATTCTGTACAAGTGTTGGAGCTTCTTGTCGCACTTTGCCGGTGAAATCGCATGCGCCTCGCGGGGCTGCTGATCTCGCCCTCTTCACACAAAAACACAACCCCGGACCCAAGACGCACAAGCTCAGACAGTCGAGAAAGGGATAGACAGCAACGACAGTCACACTTCACGATGCAAGTATATCCCATCTCTCAGGCGACCCAGCGCTGCACAACAGCACGCGGCTGCTCATAGCGCGGCACGCTCCCGCGCGGCCAATCTACGATTTCTTGCCAACGAGGTTCTCAAGGGAGCTAATGCGGGCGATGGGCTTGCGCTCCTACTATGGCGGGAGCCTCTTCGCGGCTCCGTCCTTCGAGCCCGCACTCGGGATGTTCGTACGCTGCGTCAAGCTGTGGGCGGTGCCATCTCGCACAATCTACCCCGGCTCGAGCAGCGTCTTCTTCGCCCGGGCGAGCGACCCGTGGAGGCTCGTCGCCGCCGTAACCGGCAGGCGCACACACTACAGGGCGCACACACGGGAAGAGCGTAGCTGCCCTTGCTGTCGCAAGGGCGTTGCACCTAATCCAATCTCCCGCTTAACCCACCTGTAACCTCTGCACATAGAATTCCTACACGCACCGTCTCACACGCACGTACACCCCGACGTCCTGCATACACGTCCGCTAATTGCCGTGTGAGACTCCTGCCTCTCCTATAGCCCCTGCAGGTGGGAGAAGCCTCATACACGCCTCGGCCCCGCAGGCGGCTCCTCCGCCCGCTCCTCGCCACCGGGGCGGGGCGAGGGCGTTCGGACAGCAACGGCCTCCTGGACGGCGAGGCGCGCACGCCGCCGAGCGCTGCGCTGCG